AAATATATATATTTTTGTCAACCCTACTTACCCATGACAACTATAATGATAATGCTCCTAAGGCACATGTGAAAAGAGGCTGTGATATTTTGAGTAATAGCTGCCTGCTGCGAGTCAGTGTATTGCAGTGCATTCATCTGTATGCCATGTCAGCGATGGCTGTACATTTTGTACATATGATTGTCCATCATTAGAAATTATGGCATTATTTCTTTACCTCAGAGTTCTGTAAGAAAAGCAAAACTTGGTTTTTGGAACTTCTGTGATACAGGTGTCCAAACGCTCATTCTGTTCAACTTTGGAACAAACTGAAGGTTTTGAAACTCAGGGGTTTGAATGATGGTTCCTCTTCAATCCTTGGCTATACTTTTCCCAAAGTTGGAAGGTGCACGCATGTGACCTGCAAGGCACCGCCTCAGTGGACTCTGTCTTTTGTTCAAGGCTTTGCCCTCCTATGCCCTGTCTCTTGTTCTTTCAAGTTGCTGCAGAGATGAGCTCCATTTCTGTTTCCTTGTGTGAGGGTCCCTGTTAACTCCCCCATCCCCTCTCTCCCTGAAGGACTCCTGAGGTTTATTCAAATGTACCCAGTAACCGTGCCATTATAGCTTGTCATATGTTTGTTGATGAGGAATGACTGGAAGGGGAAGGAAAGTATAGTTCTGTGTTCTGACTAAACTTTGCCTCATCAACATAGCTTTATAACACTTTTTGTGTGTAATGTATTTAAATATCACGCGTGAGACTGAGACAAGCAATGGACTGAGATAACACACCCATCCCTTCTGTCATTGTTGGGACAGGGACTGTTTCACAGGTCAGTTTGTTTTTCTGTGGCCCAGCTTCCTTATCTGTGAATCTGCTGCAGTACCCTTGGTTATTTGTAAAACATCCTGAACTACCTTAGTGATCCATGTTTAAGAAGACTAGATTATATTGTTATTGGATGTTACCCATTGGGTTGGTTTTTTTTTTTTTTTTTGGCTTTGAAGCATGTACAATGTAATAGGAATCCAGTGGTTTCATTTTAATCTCTTTTTAACATCCTGGAAAATAATTTTGTGGAAATATGTATATGACTATATCTTATCTTGCCTATGTTTTATAGTGTGATAATTGAAATTCTGTTATTATCTGTTGCATGGGAAACAGATTCACAAGGACTAAGTTGGGAGTGGTAGTTATAGTCAAGATAAGAAAAAAGTCTCTGTTGCTTAGTTATTTAAAAAAAAAGAGCGAGGAAGCCTGTCACCTGCCAACTGGCAAAGAATTTCAAATTGTGCTATAGAAAATATTTGGAGCTTTTTTTTTTTTTTTTTTTTTTTTTAAATTGTGATTCCTGTTGGCTTGCCTCAAAATCACATAATATTCTCTTCTGTCTGTTATTGCTAAACTTCTGTACCTTTTTTTCCCCTTCTTTTTCAGGCAACAAGGAACAGCAGTATCTTCCCGCAAAGTGTTACTTGTTCTATAAGTTTGGGCAGAACTGAGTTTACCCAACTCTACTATGAAGAAGTGACCAAGAATGGATGCGACATAAAACAGAAGTCATACAGACTTAGTCACCAGTTTTGATTAACTACTTACTGTAAGTAAGAATAAGACTTGTTTTCTCTTGTCTGTCATGCAAATATGAGTTCAATGGAGTGCTACTGGTAATACTAATAGGTGTATACCATGAACAGCCATCCTAAGCTGTTGTGAACTTGGCATGCTCTTTGGTGCTAAGCTGCTCTTGAAATTCACTTTGGAGATGTTTGCGGTTCAGTTCTGGGTGAGGTAATGATAGAGGTGCAGGCTCTAAAAGAACTTCTTGCCTCAGGCTGAGCTGTGCTGTGTCTTTATGCAACTGCTGTCTACAGCAGTGGCCTTCAGCAGAGGCCATTCTGTGCCCATGCGCAGGGCTTGCTGGAGCTGGAAAGCTGGAGAACTGTATTGCTCAGCATGTGACTGAGCCCCTTTCTCTGCTTTTCCTCATGTAGAGTAACATTATGAGAAGTCTCTTTAGATCTAATCATTAAAATGATTGCTTGTGGTGGTGTGTAACCTTCTTTGTTAGAAATATGGCAGCAAACATTGTCGCATGTCTTGTGTATCTGCAAATTGTTGGTTTTACCTAGCGTTAATGGTTAACTTTAAAATAAACTGCTATATGCTTGAAACACTGGATGCAGCTCTAACATTTGCACTGGTTTGGCTTGTTGTTTCCCCACTGTGTGTCTTTCCCTATTTTTGGTGTGGTGGCCACAGCACACAACCAACACGGAAGAGTGAAAACGGCATGGTTTGCAGGGCTACCGGATGTAGCATTATTAAATGAGTCCATTGAATTTGTATTTCCTGATGCTTTGTTTGAGCTCTTGTTTCCGTGTCACGCGCTTCAGTGATACATGAGTAAGTGCTGAGGGAGAGGCGGGAGGAGCAGCTGGGTGCTGACAGCAGGTGGAGGCTGACAGGCTGCTGGATATCACCACTCCTGTAGCAGGAGCGGGCACCGCCGCCATCCTCTGGGTTTGCGTGATGCTCCTGTGGATGAATGACTGCCACTGTGTGATCCACTGGGTTGTATTGAGAGGCTATTGAGATCCAGTTTCAGGCTGTACCTTCATTTATACTCTCTCTCAAAAGACTTCCATATTTCTTTTTCCCCCTAATTTGGCATTTTTCTAAAGATTTAACTGATGAGAGAGGTGGACAAAGCTTTTTGGTTACAACCATTTCCGTTATGACCACTTCTTGTTTTTTTTTTTTATAGGTTCAGTCTTTACGTCTAAACACTTGAATTGTTTCAAGACTGCTGTAAAGGAAAGATGACCTCTAGCGTAGTAAGTGAACAAAATGTTCCTTTCTGAATTTTTGTTTTTGTGAGGTTGTGTCTCTTTACAACTATTAGAATGCTGAAGGATGTGCTGGTTAGTAAGTCTTTAAAGAGGTGGGTAGAAGGAATTCTCATGCTTTCTGCATAATGGGAAAGATACACTGTAAGACAGGTGTAAGAGGCTTGAATTAATTAGCATTTCAAGTGCTCAGGTATTGATGGGACTAGATTTATGCTTTTAAACCGTATGTTTGAGAGAGATTGGAATGGCTTCTGATTCGTAAATCTCTTGCAGGATAAGTATTCTGCATCTTGTTGTAGACCAGGGTGTTTTGGAAATAGCTCAGGTGTGCCTTGCATTGCCATGGAACAAAATGGCAAGTAAGCCTTTTTCTTGAACCTGGACAGTTGAGTATATAAGGGCTGTTAGTTGTCAACATTTCTTTTGATGATAGTATTGCCTGAACCTTGCTCCTTATTTGTACTGATGTTCAAGTGAAATGACCAGTGCAGCTAACTGGTAGGCTGGGTTTAAGAATCCTTTTAAGGTTGAATTATTTTGGATCAGGAAATTGATCTTTTAACATGCCTTCAGGGCTCACTCTGTTGCTATCTTTATTATTCAGAGTGTGAGGTATTATGTACATGCTGTAAATCTCTTTCTCCATGTAAATCAGTGTGTTGGACACTTGCTAGGATTTTGGTAGGACAGGGGGGAATGGTTTTAAACTAAGACAAGGGAGGTTTAGGTTAGATATTAGGAGGAAGTTTTTTAAACTCAGAGAGTGGTGACACACTGGAACAGGTTGCCCAAGGAGGCTGTGGATGCCCCATCCCTGGAGGCATTCAAGGCCAGGCTGGATGTGGCTCTGGGCAGCCTGGTCTGGTGGTTGGCGACCCTGCACACAGCAGGGGGTTGAAACTGGATGATCTTTGTGGTCCTTTTCAACCCAGGCCATTCTATGATTCAGTACCTAGTAGAGTTCTGCATGGAGGTGGCATCTTAAATTTACTTTGTTCTAATTGCAGTCTTGCTTTTTTTTTTTTCCCTTTTTTTCTCATAACGTTATCATTTAGAATCCACCACCGTACTACGAAAATCATGGCTTCCAGACAGAAAACTACTATTCTGCCAGGCCACAAGTAGGTGCTAATCCATATCCACAGTACTTTTCTACGAATGTTCCATCAGTGCCAACTTATATCCCAAGAGTTTCCAACCATCAGTCAAGCATTCCAGTAGCACCTCCATCCAGTTCGTCCAGGATGTGTTCATCAAGTAAGATTCGTTGGCATTTCTTCCAAAGTTAGACTTAATGTCTTCCAGAGTAAGATAAGAAATAAAAGTGGTCTTTCCTTCAGATTCCTGTATTGAGAGAATCTGTGAGGGCTGCTTCCTCTCTATAAACGAGGAAGTGATGGCTGGCTGTTGTACCAGGAACCTGAACAATTTGGAGGAAAGGTGGTGTAATGGAGAAAAGTTTGATGAGCAAACACCACCAATTTTTAAATTCAGTAAAATGCACATAGCGCTTGTGACCATGCTGGAAATTACTTTATTTGTGAACCTAATTTCTCATTTTTATCCATACTTTCATTTCAGGTATGAAGAAAATCGTAATAATTGTAGTATCCATTTTAGTAGTCGTCGTTTGTGCAATTGCTGCTTTCTTGATCTGGTATTTTGGTAAGAATTATTCTTTTTGTTGTTGTTCTGAAAAGAAAAGATGTAGTGCTCTTTTAAAGTTAGAAATATAGATTATTGTCTTTCATTTTATGCTGAATTAAGGGCAAGGAAGTCTTTGTTACCTGTTTCATAAGAGATAAACTAGTGTGGCTTTTAAAAAAAGGCCTTAACTGTGGGATGTTTGTTTGTTTTTTAATAGTGCTACTATTGCTTTCTTTTCGTTTTGTCAAATGAATACATTTTTGACATCAAATGATGTCAGTTTTTTGCCTCCTCTGGAGCAGCTGGCTTTTCTGGAAAGCTACAATCTGTCTGGGAAAAGCTGAGGCAGTACAGCTCTATGTTGTAGTAGCTTTACTAAAGAGTAGCTTTACAAAGAATAGCTTTACAAGGGTTTGTGTTTTGGTGGATAGCTGGCATGTGATTGTGGGCAACTGATCCTACAGTACATTTAATTTGGGAAATTAGTGCTATATATTAACACTGAAATGAAACTGTATTCTAAATTCTAACTTGGCTTAGCTTCAAAGGAAGGAGATGAAGTAAATTCATATGCCTTAGCTGCTGAAGTTAAGGTAAATGATCAGTACGTATTTTACTTTGGTAATATGGGACCATACTTAAAGCTGAACTAGTTTGCCTATGTTTATTTGCTTTTGTGAGGCTTTTGATGCAAGTGGGTTAAAGTTGTGTGTGCCCAGTCCAAGTAACCACCGTAAGCTGGAACACAGGTGACATGTTGAACTTGGACGTCAACTCCAACCGGAATGACTGAGCTCTGAAGCTGGGCTATAGCAGTTATGTTTGGCTTACCCAAGTCGATTTTGTGATAACTTAATTTCCCTTTCAATTGAATAATTTTTCTAAGAAAATTGAAGAACAATTTGCTATGTTGTTAGGAACCTCTCTGTTCTCTATGGGAAGGGAAAGGAAAACAGAAGGTAGTTCATTTAAAATTACTAGGCAGCCACTTTGTGTTCTTAGTTGTTTTTTTTTTTTTTAACTCAGATTTATGCAGGGTGAATGTAGTCTTCTATTAAGCAGGACTGAAAACAACAAGGTGTGATTAATTTCTTCTTTCTTCTCTGCTTCGTTGGTGTGAAGTTGACTCCTTTCAGAAAACTTAGTAGAGCTTGTTTATTTGGGGGAGGCAATGGACAAAATCGTCCATTCAGTCAGCTGCATCAATGAGTTAATCTGACAAGTGATGTGAAGGACAAAGCAATAAATCTTTGATTGTGTTGGGCGAGGTTTCCTCCCAGCTCTGAGTTTTAAGAGTTTGCTGGTGCTTTGCTCTATTAAACTGACGTGTTCCATAAGGTGAGAGTTGGTGGTGATTGCTTGAGGCTAAGCTGATGTTCAGTCTGATGACTTTGTTGCTCCTTTCAGTTGAGGATCGTTGTCTTGGATCCTTAATAGAGTGTGGATCTTCGGGAGTGTGCATTTCTCCCTCATTGTGGTGTGATGGAATAACTGACTGCCCAAATGGGGAGGATGAAAACCGTTGTGGTGAGTACCAGCAGTCAAGCCAGCAGCAAGAGTTTTTTGGTCAAATTCCTTTGTCTAAAGCTTGCTAAGTTACCATAGGGCCAGCTTAGGCTCAGCTGTATCTCTTAAATGGCTTGGGATGTTTGAATACATCAAATCTTATATCTGGATCTTCAGTCGGTTTCCGGTTGATTGAAAAGCTGAAGCAAAATGACTGGCTCAGAGTTGAGTTTGCTGGAGTTTTAATATTTTAAAAACAGTTTCTCTTTTTATTTAATTTTCGTTTATGCAAATCTGAGTATGACACTGGCTCTGGAATGAACTGTTGTTGTAGAACTTCAGGTGATAGTATAGAGCTTTTTCCACATATTTCACATTCCTCGTTCTCCAAGTACTTATTTTCAGTTTCACATCTGCTTTGTGTAAGAAAGGTCTGATTAGTGTTTTTCCAACTCAAGAGCTGACAAGAAAAGCTGTGGCGAAGAGCTGGAATTGTGAGGTGAAAATGTCATCTGTTTGCCCATTCCAAAGGTCTGGCACTTGATGCTAGCACCTGTGTTGTGCTTATGCTGTTTGTGAACTCCTATTCTGTACTCCTATTCTGTCCGTGCTTCATGCAGTATTAGCTTTTACTGGCATGTGCTCTAACAGCTGTTCCTCTCCATTTAGTTGAATAATTAGTTTTTGGGGAAGCTTGCTCAGTCTGCTCTTTTACTTGAATTATTTTGCTTTAAATTCTTTTGCAGATAAATACACAGTGGGGCATAGAAGATTGCTCCTTGTTATGTTTTTGCTCTATAGCACTTGTCTGAAGCAATTTGGCACATTAAGATATAACAGAAATAGATTACGTCAGATTATATTTTATTTACATGTAATACATGGCTGTGTAGGTAAAAGATGGAAAATTGAGTATTGCAATCTTCTGCAGTGTTAGAATATGAAAGAGTTTTGAGAATAAGAACTGAAATGATGAACACTATATTGCATACTTTTCCTTAAAATTTCTAGTAGAAACTGTCTACTTGATATTTACTCTAAAATTGAATAGATGGCAGCATTAAATTAGCACCAGCTTGTGCATACAAATATCATGGGTGGCAGAACCTTTAAACAGGGCAGTAACATAGTGTGTGTGGTGTTCTTATGTTTTGGGGATTTGTTCTTTTCTTCCTTTTCTGGCAGTTAGACTTTATGGACCAAACTTCATCCTCGAAGTTTATTCACCTGTCAGCCAAACCTGGTACCCTGTTTGTGAAGATGACTGGACTGATGATTTTGGAAAGATTGCATGTCAAGACATGGGTTACAGTGTGTAAGTCTAACCTTTGTCAGTCTTTGCAAATACATGGAAAAGTTAATATTCCCTTAAATCTTGCAGTTGTTAAGAATACAAATCAGAAACAAAAAGCAGTTAGTGATCTAGCTTTGTTGAACTCAAGCGGATCTAATTTAACAATGATAGGTGTTACAGAATCAAAATGGAAAGTTCCTCTGACAGGTGATGTGTTTCTGGCATGCATGCAGTAGTTACTCCATGGGGTCACTTGTATGTTAACTCACAGTAATCCTCCAAAGCTTGCTTCACAGTACCAGCTTGTTACAGTTGCCCAGTAACATCCATTCTGGCTTAATTTGTCATCAGTATTACATGGAAAGCTTTGATCTCCTGAGGACACAAATAACAGATGCTTGTGTGGAAGATCAGCACAAATGTTTGTGGCAAGAATGCTGTCCATGTTCTCCGTGCATAATGCTGTAGCCTGAATTCTTCTGCAGTTGAAATACTTTATGTTGCCTGTCTCTGATGTGGCAAGTGCTGTCTTCCAGTGTGTAATGTAATGAGGGCAATTAATTGCCCAGGCAGATCTGGCATGTGCACAGGCTGCCTGCAGCACTTGTAATTAAGGACTCTGAACCAGCAATAACCAAAGTAGTTCTCAGACAGTAAGTCAACCCAGCAGCAATGTTGCAAGGCTGTTCCTCAGCTGGAAAGCCCTGCAGAGCAGCAGCATTTACTACCCCTGAGGCTGTCCCATAGAAATGTGTTTGCTAGAACTTATTAGACTTGAACTTCACTGTGTATGTAGAGATGCAAAGGCATCTCTTCATCGTGCCTTGTTTCATGAAGGTGAAGAGTGGTACCATGTACACATAATAGATAACAATATTATTTTAATCTACTAATTAACTGTCTGGTGGGAAACTGAGCTTGAAAGATTTCTTTAAGAATCAGTCTCTGGCGCTAGTACTGCACTGTTGGGTTCTTTCTGTGCTTAATACAGAAAGAAATTAATATTTTAGAATTGCCCTTGTCAGAAGCTGTGGCTTGGCACTGTTTATTGTCATTTGAAAACCAAAACTGCTGGTTTTCTTAGTGCGATCTTTCTGTTTCACAGAGATACATATTACTATAGCCAAGGAGTAGCAGCTGATGTCTCCATTAGAAGCTTTATGAAGCTAAATGCAAGTGCGGGGAATACAGACTTGTACAAAAGGCTGCAAAGCAGGTATTGTTGCTAAAAAAAAAATAATTTCTTTTTATCAAGAAATTATTTTTATTTTTTCAGCTGTTGTAGGAGATATAGCCTGCCTAACAATAAAAGGAAAGAGACCTTGTTTTCAGTCTGCTTGCAGCAGCTGCTCTTCTCTGTATTTAAAAACACTTCTACTCTTCTTTTAAAAGTGTAGATGCCCTATCCTGTTCCTCTGTGCTCTTTGGAAGGTTGACATGTCAAAGTTGCATTAAACAAGTCTGAAGCCTCTTATTCGCAAACATGTAGATTGCTATACCTGAAAAGTTATTGTCTTACTCCCTTGTTGTTCAAATTCCTCTATGACTATTTCATAAATCAACTCAATTTTCTCTTATGCTGTTCTTTATCTTGCTCCTCAATAGGCTTACAAGCCTTATGTGCTGCCTGGCTGTACTGTGGTCTGCGGTCTTCCATGTGACAGTTTTGGCGAATGCAAGAAACGGTGAAGGCCAGATGGGTATTGGTAGGGTAGCTGGAGAGAGTGAAGAAAGGAGGAAGATGAGCATGAAAGCAGGGCATATAGCTGGAATGGGTAGGAAGAAGCTGGAGGGTGAGGGTGAGCTCTGCCCACTGTCTGCTTCGCTGGGTGTCTTAAAGCTTGTTTGCTCTTCTCTATTTCTATTGCAGTGATTACTGTGCATCAGGAAATGTGGTTTCTCTGCGCTGCATAAGTAAGTATATGTTTCTCAGACTTCCACTTGTTGATGCCTTGAAGCACTCTGCCCATAAATCCTTTTGAATCTGCATGAATGATTGTTTGGTGGGAACGATGACTAAATTCTGTGCCCTGGTTTTAGACTTTAAGGAGCAGAATGGCAGAGGAGACAAGGGGAATGTTAGGTCCCCAGCTTTGTCTTTACTGTTACATGTTCCTTTAAACAGCTTGTCCCATGATGAGCTCTGTAATCATTGCTGTGCGATGTGGAGGGAAGTCTTTGGTGCACTGACACGTGGCCATCCGGTGGTCATCGCTGTTCCTCACCACAGTGAGGTGACCCCTGGGTGTTGCCTGTCCTGTTGCATGGGGGTGTGTGTCTGTGTGGCTCACCAAAGACATTCAAAGGCCAGCGTTCAAGGGTGTAACAATCCACCCTCTCACGGTTCACTTCTGAAGTGATGAACTGTGATGCACAGCTACCAATGAGGAGGGCAGTGTGAAGGATTGGAGCCTTGGTCCACCCTGTCCCCATGAGTCCCAGCACCATAGAGCAATGGCTGGGCTGTGGCATCAGCTCGCAGCAGTGCAGTGGATGTGGTCCGTGCTCCCTTTCTATTGAGCTTTAGTGAAGCCTGCGATGAAGAAACCGCCTTTGAAACCAGCTCTCTCTAATGCGTGTCTGTGTATGCCTGACCCCTCAGAGTGCGGCCTGTCCACTAACAGCAAAGCCATCATGGGCAGGATCGTGGGTGGCAGCATGGCGACGCTGGGGCAGTGGCCGTGGCAGGTGAGCCTCCATGTGCAGGACACCCACATCTGTGGAGGCTCCCTCATCACCCGTGAGTGGCTGGTGACGGCAGCCCACTGCGTGGAGGGGTGAGTGCCTTTATTTGCTCATGTCTTCATGCTGCAGGGGAGTAAAGCCCAAGCTAGTATTAACCATAGATGTATGTATACCTATCTGGGGAACACTTTGTGTAGGCTTTGAGGAGAAGGAAGGCTGGTATTTTGTCAATTTTTAACTTGAAAGCAGAAACTTAAAGGACAGTTAAGTGTATTTATGTTAAAAGGCAGCTGCTTTTATTGGAGGGAAAGCCCAGTAAGCAAAGACATTTTAACGGTTGGTTGAATCACAGTTTGAGGCTCAGCCAAGGGAAAATAACTTTGTCCTTAACCTTGAGAAAGGAATGTGAGCGTTTAGTTCTATGTGAAGATCTTATCCCTCCTCTGTTTTCTACTGTGTGCTCCATAATATACAAAAGTGTTAGGAGTGGTGACCAAGGTGTAGCTGGGTTTTAAGGTTCAGGTTAAATTTGGTTTTCTTTGCAAAGTGGTTGTCAGTTCCGGGGAGGGGGGGGAGGGAAGATCTCACACATATAGAAAGTCCTCTATGGAGCATGTGGGAATTGTTCTGGAGCACAGAGACTAATTAAATTATACCTAGTGAATATGCCTGATGTTAAAAACAAAAACAACAAAAACCCACCAAACAGCTACCTAGCATTTTCAAGATAAATTCCTTCACTAGATTACATTTTTGCTAATTCTGGTTTCTGCTGCCCTTCCATGTTTTGGGTAGCACATGAGTGATAACACTGACATATGAGACTTCAGAAATAACACCTTGATCCCTCAGTTGCTGAAATCAATAAAGAGGCTTCTGTGTTCCAGTCTCAGGCTATAATTTGCTGTGCTGAGTGACAAAGGGGATTGGCAGTGATACTTAACTTACTTCAAATAATTTTTGTACACTTATGAAACTGGAGTCAAGCTCTCCTGAAGTTAGATGGCCTGTAGCTTGTCTTTTAGGAAAAAAAAACAAAACAAAGCAAAAAAAAAAACAAAAAACCCCAAAAACAAAAAAATCTTGTGGTCAGTTTTTGTTAGTACATTTGCATTACAGTAAAAGTCATGCTGCTAAAGTTGACTGATGAAGGGAGACTGGCCAAAAATAAGGCACGAGTTACTGTTTGCTTTTGCCTCCAGAAGTGGCAGTCAAATACATATGCATTCTTGGTCATGGATAGTAAAAACAATTCTTGGAAGGTTGAGTTCCAGTTCTGGGCTTCCTGGTACAAGAAAGACAGGGATCTCCTGGAGAGAGTCCAGCGGAGGGCCACAAAAATGATAAAAGATCTGGAGCATCTTCTGTATGAGGAAAGGCTGAGTGACCTGGGTCTGTTCAGTCTTGAGAAAAGAAGACTCAGAGGGGATCTGATTAATGTTTATAAGTATCTTAAGTGTGAGAGTCAAAAGGACATGGCCAACCTCTTTTCAAAGGTCTGTGGGGACAGGACAAGGGGAAATGGCCATAAGCTGGAGCATAGGAATTTTCACACCAATATGTGAAGGAACTTCTTCACAGTAAGGGTGATGGAGCGCTGGAAGAGGCTGCCCAGAGAGGCTGTGGATTCTCCTTCTCTGGAGATTTCAAGACTCACCTGGATGCCTACCTAGGCAGCCTGAGGTAGGGGGCCTGCTTTGCAGAGGGGCTGTTCTGGATGATCTCTAGAGGTCCCTTCCAGCCCCTACAATTCTGTGATTCTGTGGTTCTGTAAGCTGAGTTTCTCTGCCAGCAAAGCAAATCTTCTAACGCTTGTTTTTTTCTGTAGACAATTTTCTGATGCATACGTCTGGACTGTTTATGCTGGGATTCTGAACCAGAATGAGATGCTGTCAACATCTGGATACAGAGTGCAAAAAATAATTTCCCATCCAAATTATGATACAGATTCTAAAGACAATGATGTTGCCCTTATGAAGTTAGAGACACCGCTGACTTTTACTGGTATGTATTCTGCTCTTCTTAAGGGGGGTGGGGGGGAGGGAAAAAAGCAGGGGGTAGTGAGTATATCTCTTAAAACTTCCGAAGTTGATCAAGAAATCCTTGTAGATACTTACGGGAAGAACAAAAGAATATGAGTAGTGATACCTTAATGTGCCCAACCAACAAAAAAACCCCAATCCTCTAAAACCAACCCAAACCTCTGTTCCAAGTTCTTGATCAGATTCCTTGCTTTAAACTAAAAAGGGAGATTTAGGTCAGATATTAGGAGAACAGTGAGGCACCGGCACAGCTGCCCAGAGAAGCTGTGGTGCCCCATCCCTGGAGGCGCTCAAGGCCAGGTTGGATGGGGCCCTGGGCAGCCTGAGCTGGTGGGGGGCAGCCCTGCCCGCAGCAGGGGTTGGGGTGGCGTTGGCTTTAAAGTCCCTTCCAACCCAAGCTGTTCTATGATTCCCCATGTTAGCAGATTGGTAACAGTTTTTTAACACATAAAATTGAAAAGGGATTTTCTTAAAAGTGGGGATGCTTCCTTGTAAGCAGGCCATAGAAACTGAAATACAAAACATTACTTAAAGTACTTCATATATATACGTTCTGTGTGTGTGGGGGTGCTATAATTGCAAGTCCTGTATTTCAGTGCATCAGCTTAAACTGACTTGAGATATTCTGGAGGTTGTCTGCTTGCTAGAATGTTTGAAATCTTTTATTTCACCCTTCTTGTATATAGGCATTGAATCCCACTTGCATTAGTGATTATTTTCAGCAGGATTTTGCAAACAGGATGAAGCTAGTTCTTGGAAGAGTTTCTTCTCTGTCCTTGTTTACTGATCACATGAACTGTTGTTAATTGTTGCAGGTAGCCAGGTTGCTGGTTGAATAGAGCTAGACACACTAACTGTGCTCCTTCATCACTTTGAGGTCAGAATGCAGTAGTCCTCTAGGAAGGAGCAACTGCTTAGCTTTTCACTGCTGCCTGCGTTGCAGGGTATTGCTTAGCTGCAATGGGGGTAAAGTACAGAGAAAAGAGCACAGCATGTATGTACTTAAGGCAAATGCTGGTCACTGTGAGTAATGTTGTATCCACTTGTTTCGCATTATGCCTGGACATCTGGGGCTAGACTGTCACTGTATTTGCTTTGTAGATAATATACAGCCAGTTTGTCTGCCTAACCCGGGATTGATGTTCGAGCCTAATGAGGAGTGCTGGATATCTGGGTGGGGAGCAGAGTATCAAGGAGGTAAGCATGGCTCTGACACATTTGGGTCTTCTACACAGCCAGTCCTCTTCAGACTAGATCAATTTGTGGGACTTGAGAACGGAAAAAAGAGGCAATATCAGAAGGCTGAGAGAGCTGGGGCTGTGTAACCTGGAGGAAAAAAGGCTCTGGGGAGACCTGAGAGCGGCCTTTCTGTATCCAAAGCGGGGATATAAGAAAGAAGAGGACAGGTTCTTCAGCAGAGTCTGTTGTGACAGGACAAGGGAAAATGGTTTCAGACTAAGAGTGGAGATTTAGATCAGACATAAGGAAGAAATTTTTTACTATTAGGGTGGTGAGGCACTGGCACAGGTTGCCCAGAGAAATGGTGGATGCCCCATCCTTGAAGACATTCAAACTCAGGCAGGATGGGCTCTGAGCAACCTGATGTAGCTGTAGGTGTGCCTATTCATTGCAGGGGTGGGGTTGCAATAGGTAGCCTTTAAGGGTCCCTTTCGTCTTAAACGATTCTGTGAATATATGAAGTTTGTGGTCTGGGGTAGGGACAGGGCTGCTGAATTTGGGATTTGCTGCCGCCTAGTGCCGGACCGCAAAACTGAGGAGGGCTTTTTCATTCATTGCTTTGTTCACGTGCTTTTAATAGCCCTACGGCTAATATAGTTGCTTGGGCTTGTAGTAGGCAGGTCCTTATTATCTTGACTTACAGTACACTAACAGCAATGCAGAGTAAATAACCCCTGGGAAAGGAATTTAAATGTCAGGGTATTTTCTGCGTGACGGACTTTTCATCTTAAGCATCCATCCCTGAGTTTCTCATGATTTTATTTTGTCTTGAGTAATGCTAGCCACTGAAATTTGTAATAGGAATGTAACTTGATGCTTATTCTAATATTGTCATTGTTTTTATGTGTTTTCATGCTTGTTTCAATTTTAGGTAAAACAGCAAGTGACTTGAATTATGCCAAGGTACTCTTAATAGAACGTTCTACATGTAATTCTGTCTATGTCTATGATGGCATGGTCTTGCCTACAATGGTCTGTGCTGGATATTTAGAAGGAGGAATTGATTCTTGTCAGGTAATTATTTCTAACTAACACCTAACAGTGATCTGGTTGATCGTTTTTGTGCTCTTATTAGTAGGGATTTTATCATCAGTTAATTCCAAACTGATAGAATTTTTAATATGTTTCTAATTGACTGATATGACTAACAGTTTAGTTGGGCTTCTAGTTTATTTTGTGGCACATCCTGTAGCAGGGAGAGCTTTTTGTCATGCTCTACAGGTCACAGGGGGCCAGTGCTGAGAGGCTGAGGCAGTCTTTTTATACGTGCTTCAAGGATGTTTGGTAATCTCATACTTGAAAATGAACAAATGCTGTTTGTAATCACTACATTACTGTAGCATTATGCTTGTGAACAAGAAAGTCAGTAAAGTCTGTCTTGTGTAACGCTTTGGGCAAACTATTTTCATTCCTATGGCGTATAGTCTTCATTTAATACAGTAATTGCCATAGTGTTTTATTTTAGTTGCTCTTTTGCAATAACGTTTAGCTCTTTTTTTTTTGAAATCCAACTCATATTCCAAGGGGGAATGGTTTTAGACTGAGACAGGGGGGGTTTAGGTTAGATATTAGGAGGAAGTTTTTCACACAGAGGGTGGTGAGGCACTGGAACAGGTTGCCCAAGGAGGCTGTGGATGCCCCATCCCTGGAGGCATTCAAGGCCAGGCTGGATGTGGCTCTGGGCAGCCTGGTCTGCTGGTTGGCGACCCTGCACACAGCAGGGGGTTGAAACTGGATGATCATTGTGGTCCTTTTCAACCCAGGCCACTCTGTGATTCACTGGTGGCCAGTCACTAACAGTGCACCAATGTTTTGTGCAGGGTGACAGCGGAGGTCCTCTGGTAACAAACAAGAACTCGGTGTGGTGGTTGGTTGGAGATACCAGCTGGGGAACTGGCTGCGCTAGTCCCAACAGGCCTGGAGTTTACGGAAATATGACTGTGTTTACAGACTGGATTTATAAAAATATGCAGGTAAAATGTTTCTATCTTTCTAAATGCCCCAAGTGGTGAAACTTGGCTTTAATCATTTATTCCATTCAGTTATTGCATTGAGAAGCATCCAAGCAATTGATGAGATGGTCTGTCAGCACAGCTAGAGCCTTTGTTTTTTGTTTGTTTTTTTTTTTAAACAGGCCAACAGATGACAACGCCATTTCTCATTCAATGTTTCTGAGAACAAGAGAAAATGAAGCCATGGGTGCCTGGGATATTTATTCACTTTTACAAATGATTTTTCTCTTTGAATTTTTTTTTTTTTTTTTTAATAACATGAAGAATTGCACGCTGGATTATGTGCTGGCTACAGTGACAGATTTTAGTCAGTGAGGGAATATCACAGTAAGCACCTTTATTGATGGGGTGCCTCTCGGAAAGTCGTTCTGCTAAATGCTTGCTGAGATTTTTTTTTTTTAGCTGAGTAACTTTCACTTGGTAATCAGGTGCAGGTTTAAAATAGAAATTTTAATCACAACTTCAGATTTTTGTAGCAGGGTTCTGAGACAGTTGGTTTTGTGGGGTTTTAAATTAACTGTCACGTAATGTGAATATTGAATCTCTGAGCTGCTGGCTGGCAATGTAAGAAGAAATGAATGTTTTTTGGTATATATGAAGGGAAGTTTTCATGCACTATGTTAGTAGAGACACAGGAAAAAAAAATACAAACTGCATATTCAGGTAGTTATAAATCCTCAGGATCACGACAGCCGTCATCCAACTCAGATTGCTCCAAGTAAGATCAGTCTGATCCTCTCAGTAATTAAAAAGTGCTCTTCTGCCTCGAACTGCTGTGACTCCTGAAAGGGCAGGACCTGCCATCGCTCCTGATATAGGTGACAGAGAGGAACGCTCCAGAGCTGCAGCAGAAAGGAGGCAGCTGAGCATCCTGCCAGCGAAGTCCCCTGCCACGTGCATCCAGAGGATGTGATGCTGCTCCGTGGGGTGTGCTGCAGGCAGCAGACCTCTGGCTGCAGTGCCCATTTGGGGACTGGGTGTTCTGGATGAGGAGACACAAGCCTGTGTTTCTGCCTAACCAGATGAACTACCTCATTTATTAAATTTGGCTTTTAGTACTTTAGGGCTCTCTTTTAGGTATCTGCATGATGTTTTTAGCAAAATACAATGAATATCAGAGTGCCACTTCGACTAAGATTTGGAAAATAATTTATAATCATAGGACAGAGGATCAAAAAGCCATAACAAGTCACTTTTATTAAGAAGGATAATTTTCTTGAAATAAATGACGCTAGTTGTGTTGGTACTGAAATGCAATTACCTTGCATGGAAATACTGCACCAAATAAAAAAATATATTTTTTTTTACAAATAATTTTCCTTTGTAGCAGTTTGTTTGTTTGGGATGTCTTGGAAGCAGTTGCTAAACTCAATGTCTGAAATCTTCTGAGAAGCTGATTCAAGAAAGAAGAAGCAGGACAAGAAAAAGCAAGAGGGTCATCTTGCTTAACTCCAGAGTTTTTTTAACTCCAGAATTTCAGGTTCCTGAGTAAACCCAGGGGAATAGAGCTGGCTGTTCAGGGATACTGGATATCTTCAGGGGAGGGGGCTGCCAAAATCACTTGGGCTTATGAGATGGAGTTAAATGGGGAAGTTTAGACTGAAAAGCAGTGGGATGAGGGAATTGCACCCTAATTTATTGTAACTCACACTGCCCAAAGCAGTGTACCTGCCTGTTTACTCTAGGGGTATTTCCAACAGCACATGATTGTCATGCGCCCCTTAGGGGATACCATGAAGTTTGTAAGTTTAAAGCACATTCAAAATAAAAATTAAATGTGTTTCAGTGTTATGGTATCAGGTTTTTATAGGGCTTGTGAGCTGCTGTGCTGCTAGTAGATGTGGAAAACTGTTGGTAGTGCTTAACAGGGTTATAAATGCTGCGTGCTCCAATGGGTTGAGCTCTGTGCTGCAGAAGTCAGCCCTCCATTGCTGCCATGTTACAAAGAGAAGGCTTCTCTTGTAACCTTGAGAACTGCTTGTCTTTGGAACTGCTACATGACAAACTGGAATAGGCACATTTTTTTAGCAGAATGCAGCCAGCCCTCACTCACTGCACAGAATATAGTTTTGCCTGTTAAAATCTCCCTATGAAAGATGTCACAATTACGATGTGCAGTATTGCGTTTTGCACTGCCTTCCATGAAATGAAAGACAGCTTTTGGAAAGGTTCTCCTCAGCCTGAGAAGGAGGAGATATCAGGTAGCATGCTATGTGCTGAGGCATCTTTTCAGTGTTCAGTGTCTTGTGGATTAATCTGTTACAGACAACCCAATCCAGTGGTCTGGTAAATCCACCATCGACCCCAAAATCTCAGGCAGAGGTCCAGGCACCTAATAGAAAAACATCTCGGTTTTCTAACCATAACCATATAAGTCAGAGAAAAAAGAGAAATGAATCCTAACATCATCCTGTGAGTATACTTATGAGCTGTAGTTATTTCCCTTTAGGCTGGAACTGTTTCAGACACACTGTGAGCACCATCTTTATCTGCAGAGTTGGAACTTACCAGTGGTAACATGTTGCACGAGTATCTTTTATGCAAGCCAGGCACTACAACAACCACAGCAAAATCACAGAGATCTAGAAAAGTTATGTGATTGGATTTTTACAGTTTTTGGGTTCCACAGCTGAAGGCTCCCCATCCTTTAAAAAATAAAACCAAAACCACCTACCTCAGAGCTCAAGCTTTTAAAAAATAGTTTTTAATGTTGTATGGAAGACAAAGTTTATAATGAATGGGTGAAAGTGAGATAACATTTTATCACAACTACTGCAGTGGAGCTTAGACAAGGGTAGGCATATCAGACTATGGAAATTAAGACAGAACTAGGCCACTAAATCATTAGAAAAATCTAGAAACTGGTATTAAAGGTTGCTGCGTTGGAGGATTTTGCAAAGCTCCTCATTAATGCTAGAAAGCAAAAGCAGAAAAATACTTCTGAAAGATGAGGAAATCTACAGAGACTTAAAGTCTACTAGGTACTGGTTGGCTTTGTTGAGGCGACTAATTTGGCTGGTCAGTAACTTCCGCCGGTTAGCAGCTTCGTGATCTTCCTGGAGTAAGTGGTTTAATTCTTCTTTTTCTTGCAAGAGATGCAACATTGAGATCTGCAAATAATCTCCAAAGTCACGAAGAACAGTAGAGAGGATGATCAGAGGAATCTGATTGCTCAGGCGTTTACTTGCTCCCTACAAGGAGGAGGAAAAAAAAAAAAGTGAAGACTTGCTTTCCTAAAAGAAGATAAAACGGGCTATAGGCGCTCTGTTACAAAGTGACTGCACACTTTTAAAGCACTGTATGGAGTTGCTATTCAAGGAATTGAGTGTTTCTTGGATCTAGAAAATGCCATTAATTCCTTTTGTTCCTAAAAAAAAATCCAGAAGTTAAGATTTATGGGATTGTCAGCTGTAGCTTTATTTTTTTCTCCCTCAGTGAACTAAACCCAACACAGGCCACTCCCAGTTTATCTCTCTCTGTGCTAACCTTGATAAGAATTATGCTGCGACTAGAAGAGCACTTCAACATAAGTGTCTGGCTACAAATAACAGAGGTTCTATCTTCCTTTCTTTTGGTGGCATATGACTTGAAGAGGTAGAAAACCAGGTAGAGGCACATTTGATTTGGAAGTCATAAAGGACTTAGGCCACCCATCTCCAGCAAAGTCTTGGTCTTTTCTGGCTTCAGATACTGCTTTAGCTCAGCAGCTGTAAATCTTTCATCTACAAGGACAATGAAAAATACCAAAGACTAGATATTTAGTTTTTCTTTCTAGTTTGCAGAGATCTAGTCAAAATGGAGCAATTCAGCAGTCAGCAGGGTGCTTACTGAGCCTATGTATTTTGTTATTCTGGTGCTAAACCTTACACAGAATCTTGACCTTTCTTAATTGACATGGGATCAGGCATGCCATTTTCAAATACCATGGACTTAAAAGCTCTAATCTGATTTCATCTCATGTATTTGGCTCCAAGTCTCCAAGAGCTGTGATGCCCTGGTATTTGGTTACTGTTAAAAAGGGTGTTTAGGGCATTTACAAATATACAACTATCCTTCAAGACTGTGGTACAGTAGAAAGTATCTGAGGCTGAAGGGAAGAACTTTATGCAATTCTGCTTTTGTCTTTTGCTCTCTGAAAGTTTCCCAATGCAAAAACCTGGAAGAACAGCCTGAACATTCAGTTGCAGCAATGTTTCGGAAACCATTCTATTGAAATTGAACCACTACCTAAGTTAGTGCATTAATATTTAACTTGGTGCTTACTGAGGGAGTTTATGAAACAAAGATCAAAAGCATATTCTCATACTGGGCATTCTCTTGGCTGTCTTGCTCTAAAATGATCTTTTGTTAAAGTATCCCATTTATCTCCATTTAACTTCTGAGCTGTATGTGATGTGGCATAGCCACTCTGATCTCTACAGAAAGCCAAATCCATTTTAACCAATTATTTGACTACAACTCGTCCTGCCCTCTGAGTTTAGAATCCGACAGCTCTTTTACTGGAGCAATAGGACTTGCCATCATTCAGATGTCATTAATTTTTCATTACAGGGCTATGGGCTCTTCCCCTTGCTTTCCTCTCCCCCAAGTCAGGTAAGTAACGGTCCTTTCATCCCCCTAGCTCTTGTTCCCATAGGAGAAGCCAGCCAAAGGGCATTGGCAGCCTTGTAGTCTGCAGACTTACAGTGAAATAGGCCTTTGTGTGAGAAACCATTTCCAGGACAAAGCTGGGACCTTGACTTGAAGCAATTGCAGGACCAAGGTCTTTGATTTTTGTATTTTTGTTGATGCTTTCTGCCCGGGCAGCTTTTAAATCATTTGCGTAAATGTTATCCTGGCAGTATACAATTCTCTCCATTTTAAATTGAGTCAGGATGAAATTTTTCGCAGTCGTTGCTTGTCTGTCTGCAATGGAACCAATTCTGGCCTGGAAAAGAAAAGAACAAGTTTTGAGATGCTTAGCGACATCCCTCAGGGTGGTGAAGTGGATGTAGTTGCACTTGCAACTTGCTAGTAGCAGCATTTGCTAATCTCAGGTTGGCCCTTGGTGCATACTTTGATGTCTTAGCTTCTGGTTCCTTTCCCAGGAAAGAGCAGGAAAATGTGGTGTTTGGTCCCCTCATGAGAAACAAGTGGGATCATGTCAAATCAAGTTTAAACCTGGTGCTTGCATCCCGAAGGAAAACCCCAAGATTGGTTGGAACAAGCAACAACTGCCAGTGATGAGTTCAGCCTGCCCTCAGTTTTTGCACCTGCTCAGTTTTTGATTGCTTTTGCATGCATTTCAGCTGAATCTCCTTCTTGAAGTAGGCAGTGGCAGCAGTACTGATGTGAGCTCCATTTCCCCTTCCACCATTCTCAAAAGCATGATTTCTTACCTGTTGTCATCAAACCAGCCCTATCTAACCCATAGCAATCTAGCATCTTTTTAAAAATAACATGTTTTTTTCACCTTTTTGGTGCTACCATCTGCCTGCAGAGACAATAAGCTCCTCTTTTATCCAAGGTCTCTTAAAATGCTAACTTAGCATTCCTACATCAGAATAAAATTTTTGTTTTTCCCTCAGAGTCTATCAGAATCTCTTCTTTTCTTCC